TCAATTCATATATTTTTATTTTTTTTTCTTTTAAGGAAATTTGCCATTAAATGGTTTAGTTTGCTGGGAATAAATATGGTCGGTCGGGAAACGGTAACCACACCTATATTTTGTTTTGGCCTTACCTGTCCGGGGTGTACCACCAGTGAAGCAGCAATGCCCTTTCTCGTTTGATGACCGGACGTATCCATTCTCCTGCAATGCCAGGGTGCAAAATTAACCACGAGTCTGGAGTCAAATACTCCCTGATTTACTGTCGGACTCCCTGATTTCACATATGCAGGAGTCCGTGTGACTCCCTGAAAATTCTGCTATACTAACTAGTTCATTCCAGAGCACGGCCTCGCGGAATTACCGTGTTTTTTTAGCAAATGTCCCAAGAAAAATTGGCAGACGTGCGCCGCAAATGTCCTTTTTGTTAATATCTTTAGTTTTGAACTTCAGACTGCGGACTCCCTCATTTTGCTGGGGACTCCCTCTTTTTGAGGGTAGGGAGTCTGTTGGACTCGCTTGTTCAAAAGTTAATTTCTACCCCTGATATTCTATTCTAATTTAAGCTGCTAATTTCTATAGATATCAAGAAGCATTACTGCACATAATCAAGTCGATACACTGCATATATTACTGTTATATGTTGACACAAGGGTGTTCTAAAATAAAGGTGTTCTAAATTTCTCATTAGTAATCGCTGAATGCATGGCATTTAATAAGAGGTACTAAACAACACTTATAGTATAAGGTGTTTTCTTTTTCCCATAAATTGCCTCTTGATGATGAAAGGAATATTCTACCCCTAAATTCAATGCAGAGCTTCGTGGCGAGACACCACGCTTCCCAACAGTTTCGCACCACACCGCGACGCATCTGATCGATCGACGTGCCGGACGACATTTTTGTGAACCCGAAACGAATCTTACGATCATGCCCGACATCACTCTACCTCGCGCTCTCTCCCATCTTATACCGCCGTACACAAGACCAAGCCAAAACGGTCGCTCACACAGAACCCAGTGCACGATCGCTCGCATATCCATACGATATTTCTGTAGGTCTCGACCCCCTGCTACCTGAGACCCATACAAAGCCTCGCGGTGGACCCCCCCCCCCATCCGCCACGGCGTAGCCGAGGCATGACGTGGCCTTGCCGCGGGGCCGGGGGCACCTACGTCTAGGCCCCTATATTACCACTAGGCCCTAGAAGGTCTCGACCCCTGTTATCCAAGACCCATACAAAGGCTTGTGGTGAACCCCCACCCCCCGCCCCGGTGCAGCCGACGCACGACGCGGCTGGGGCCTTGCTGCGGGGCCGGAGGCACCTACGTCTAGGCCCTAGAAGGTCTCGACCCGTTATCCAAGACCCATACAAAGGCTTGTGGTGAACCCCCACCCCCCGCCCCGGCGCAGCCGACGCGGCCTCGCGGCGGCGCCACCTACCCTCGGGCGGCGTCGTCGGCGGCGGATGTATGATGTGCGTCGCCTTGTCGGGGCTGTCGGCGATCGTGCCCTTGTGGCGTATGACAATGTCCTTGAGCGTGCCGACGAGCGCCTTGTCGACGTCGGAGCGGATGTAGATGCAGGGCAGCGTCAGCAGCTTGTTCTGCAGCAGCGCCTTCTCTATGTTCATCAGCATCTCGACGTTGCGGTCCATGCGCGACGGCGACTGGAAGTCGAATCGCCGCCTGGTGGGTAGATACAATAATGTAACCCAAACCCAAGAGGATAGGGTTACAAAGCCTCCCTATCCTTTTGTGCGGAGGAATGCCCGAGTGAATCACTCGGGCTGGTTTGCTAGTGCGTTTTCAGAGACTAGAACTTCCAAACTGAATTTATTCTAAACACGAACCTTTCTCCGCTACTTTTCTACTAGTACTACTACTAGTAGTAGTAGGGGCCTAGTACTACTACATACTAATTACTACTTACTACTAGTACTAGTACTACTAGAGCTATCTCAGAAACAGACTTACAGAGTGTGAGTCGCTGAGTGATTATTAATATTATTGAATATTGTCAATATCATGCTCCGCTTTACATCTACATCTATATGGGTACGTCGATCTGTCACTCTTGACAATTACTCGACGGTAACATCTGTTTACATACAGTACTTACAGGGTTCGTAGCGGGTCTTCCAAAGTCTTATAAGTACTTATTTTGCCAAAAATAAAATAAGGGCCCTTATTAGTACTTATTTTTGGTGAAATCTTAGAAAAGTACTTAATAGTCCTTATTTTTTGCTAAAGGACCATTTTTCAACATTTTCTGTGTTGAATTCCGGCGAAACGTCTTTATATAAATATTATTAGCGTACTTTAATAGTCGGTGATCTATCAGAAATCGCGTAAAAAAGTCTTATTTTGGCCTCCAGAAAGAGTTATAAGTCCTTATTTCAACATGTGTCTTACTACTATGAACCCTGACTTAGTAAGTATTACTAGTTAGACTACTAGTAGTAGTAGTTAACAATAATTATTGCTGTTTCTAATAATAGTTGGGCATTAGTTAGCATGTCCACCGTTCCCGTCAAAACGTGAGCACAGTTAAAACACTGGCCAGGACAGTGAATTTATTCAAGGGATAAAACCTAGCTCTAATAGAGCCTTAGAGGGGTCGTGGAAGAACAATTGCAATTTGAATACATAAAACACTGCCAGTAACCACTCTCAGGTAGGCGTAAAACCACAGACGTTGATTATGCACCAGAGCCGTCTAAGAGATTTATGTTTTCAGTCTCATGCCTAGCTGTAGTCTTGTGACACCGGCTTGGAAACATCTGCACGGGAGAAGCCACTGAGATAAGGAGGAAGAAGGAGAATTCCTGCTATAACAGAAACGTTCATACTTTTAGCTTGTAATAAAACTTTTTGTGCTGTATTACTCAGAAATTTTCATTATTTCAACTGCTCAACACTATTGCATCTATCAGATTCTCCATGAAAAATACTGTCTTCAGTAGGCTACATGTATTTCTATTGAGGTTGACGTTTTCAGCCTCATGTTTAGCTGTAGTCGTTTGACACCAGGGGGAGCAAACATATATCTGTGCGACAGACGCCCCAAAGATAAGGAGGAAGAAGAAGAAAGAGGTGTCTTGCTCAGTATATAGAAAGAATAAGTGGAGTAGCATAGATTCAGGTGAATTCAGAATTGAGTTACGGGTATACTAATATGAATTGAAAATTTGCTAAGTTTCAACGGAGAAGTAGAAGTTCAAGTATGAGAAGAAACTGTGTGGTATTAGGTGCTGCTGACATTGTTTGGTTTGGACAGTTCCTGCTTCAAAAGGCACAACGCACATCCTTCGGACATTCATTAATAAAATATTTCAAGAAAATAAAATGTTTTCTCTACCTACCTACCCTATTTTTTTCGGCATGTAACGGTAACCACATATATTTTGTTTTGGCCTAACAGAAAGTATTAATGCAGCCCCCCTACGATGGCCTTTGCAGGTCTTTTTGTCATTTCTTTATGCTTCTGTCGTAATATCTATATATTACGTTTTACATGGTGTAGGAGAAAATGGAAGTCCAAATTGTGTAGTTACAACTTGTTAATTGTACCCCCCGCGACAGAGTGTATTTGACCTTTACCTTTACCTTGATCATATTTTCCTTCCGCTCTCTAACTCGGCCCCTAATTGACCTAGTGCTACCAAACTTGGTATACTTACACATCTTGGGGAGAAGGTGTGTCGCGTACCAAAACCAGGTCACTGCGGCTTTTATTTGACCTTGACCTTGATCATATTTTTCTTCCGCTCTAACTCGGCCTCTAATTGACCTAGCGCGACCAAACTTGCTATACTTGCACATCTTGGGGAGAAGGTGTGTCGCGTACCGAAACCAGGTCAGTGCAACCTTTATTTGACATTGACCTTGACCTTGACCTTCATCATATTTCCCTTCCGCTCTATATATCGGCCCCTAATTGACCTAGCTCGACCAAACTTCGTATACTTACACATCTTGGGGAGAACACGGGGGATACATGTAGTTGGCGACAACTGCCCTTTCTAGTTATAATAGGAAGACATTTATATAGCATCCCACAGGAAGGGATCAAGCACTCTTATGTAGTCAAATACGTTTTGGGCGGAAGACGCATGGGCAGAAATATTTAGACCAGGCCATCCTTAAAAAATTCTATGTGTGCTGTCTCCCGACCCATGATTTTTTCAGTGGGTAGGTAGGTAGGTCTTCTTTTTTTCTGTCCTCATGTTTGCTACACATGCTTTGTGTTTCTGTCTTAACTATATGAGGAATGTAAAAAAAAAAATGGAACCCAAAATGTAAAAAAAAAACTTTTTTAAGGATGGCCCCATGGCAGAAATTCTTATGTGTGATTACTTATTACATGTAGTAATGTATTGATGTATGTGCAGATGCGGTCGTGTTCAAGTTCAGCACCTAACAGCTTGCTGATGTTAATAGCTGCTTATTTTTTAGACATGTCAAAGGCATATATGCAAATTAAGAGAAAATTATACTTTACTCTAGAAAAATAACAGCCAATGTCTACTGTTCCATTGAAGTGTAAGTTTTTTTTAGGTAAAATGATTCGCAATGTGGCTAACATGTCATTATAGCCAAAGGTTCTCATCCATTTTTACACTAGGTCCGTTTAGTAATAAGTGTTAACCAAGGGTTAATATAAGGGTTAGCCAACATACCAGCAAGATACTAAGCGAATAGCTATTGAAATGGATTATTTTCAACGTTTTCACCAGAAAATGCATAGCTACAGTATCTTTTTTTTGCAGCAATTCTGCTTGTCCTGATAAAGCAGAAACATGTCTAGCATTTCTGCACACAACTGTCCTGCATCATTCTGAATTTCTGAAGACCTACTCAGGCAATATTAAGTGAATCTCAATGAAGCTGGGTACGTGTATGTCCCATTGAGTGAATGTTTAGTTAGCTGACCATACTAGGCAACTAACTACCTGTGCTATTATCGGACATAACTCTTTAGATACCGGTGGATCAATCTATTATTCACCAACAGCTACAAGTTTTGAGCTTGCAGATTCCGTATGCCTACTTGATTAGTTTATAAAAGAAGGTACTATTGTGTTGTGATATACCTTGTCAAGAAAACACCTAGCCATCTAGCATTATAACTATATCAGTGCCATTTTCGTTTAAAGTGATTATGTCACCGTAAATAGTAAAAGAAAAAAAAGTCTACTTTTTCACAAAATGTAATTGATTCTGCTTACTTTTTATGGTTAAATTGCTGCATATACTTCTTATTTTGCTATTCCGTTTGATGTGAACAAACACTCGTAACTCATGCATATATATATAGCCCATAGCAAGCATTTAATGTCGTGCTAATTATATCAAATCACCCAGGTTTTTTGGATTTTAAATAGTTGAGAAACAATCTTATCAGCTTATCAGGTAAGAATATGAGGATACATTTACTAATCCCGCTAGTACTTACTTTTCATGTAAAAAGATTGCAGCAAAAATTTTACAAAAATATACACCATCGAAAATTCGTGACGTAGTCAATTTAAAAAACGATAAGAATATATGCTGTTTTTAACGTACGACCACAGAAACGTTCATACTTTTAGCTTGTAATAAACATGATTTGATTTATTGTCGTGTTCTAAGAATAACGCGCGCACGCATATGTAACTGCATAAAATAATTCAGTCTGTATTTCATCACTGCATCGCTTTTGAGTATCAGTGTTTTTGCGAATGCACTGGCATGCATCAAAATAAAGTTAACGTACATTTAATTGCGACCAAGAAAACAACGTAAAAAAGTGGGAATTATGGAGGTGCAGCAACTAGGGTGCACTCTCATCTTACACACACAAATATAGGAACGGAACCGCTTTGTGTGGACGATATTGCTGTAGTGATTATTTATATTCGATGCAGATGATTAGAAATCGTATCTTTATTGTTTGCAGATGATGTTTCGACCGTGGATTGATGTGGATGTGATGATATGAGGCATAGCAAAGGCACACGTTGTTCTGGTTAAACATGGTAATTAGAGGAATATTTACTTACTAGGGTTAAGTTCTTGTTTATATTAATTTAAATTGTGATTCATCTTTGAATTAAATTTGTGTATGGATATAATTAAGTATTGGTTGCTTTTCTTGGTGCACAAGTTGTACAATCACATAGAGTGTGTATCAGACAAGTGCAAAATATAATTCTGCAGTACATCATAGAAAAGCATTGATAACGATATCGCCCCAGTTTTTCCCCAGCCTACTACTGTGAGATAGCTGGTCACATGCAAATTGCAATGTTGTACATTGAATTTGTAGAGTATTGGGAAAAATATATAAATGGGTAGGCTCCTACCTACCAATCGATTATAATTAAGTTAAACTATTAATATGAATGTAATTACTAGTATCGTTAATGAAGTATACTGCATCTGCTTCTACTATCTGTAATCTCTATAGCACTGCAGTTATAAGCATTTACGCATTTGCAGATCCGTGTGCACACTGTATAACTACTCAAAGGCTACGGATGGGAATTTAATATCCCTGCATTATTCTATTCATATGCAAGTACACCATCAAAGAAACCAGGATGAAATGAATTGGCATATCACAGTAAAATTGTGTTGTATGTACCGAAACAGCCCTGCTGCATTGATAGAATTCATGTTAATTTAGAGATATATTCATTGCATGT